GGGGGGGGGGGGTTATATCAGAAAATCAGGATCCCTGCTGATGTTACCCATAATGTAATATTAGAATTAACTGTCTATGAACAGAGTTCCATTTCGTTTAATATATTATTGATGTCAACTGCAAAGTACCCACATGATTATTTCAACAAAGAGTACTTGGTCAAATATTTATAACTTGCCCAGCCTTTTGTGTATTTAAGATACAATCTGGAAGAAAAATATTAAGTACAAGTTGCTTGGCAATCAAATACAATTGGCTTTAGTGCAATGAAACAATATGAAGTTCACTGTTCACAAGTCACCAAGAAAAGAGAAATCAAATCAGCTCTATAACTTCTCTTCAATAACTGAAGTGCTGGCTCTTTCCTGAGGGTCAGCTGAAAAAAATTCAGGATGACTGAGCTGCCTGGTCAGGGCTACACTGTGCTTCTGTATTATGTGGTCTACCACCTCACTGTGAAATTACCCTGAACCCTTTTTGACTATGGCTACATGTACAGGAGGGAAAGCAAGGGCTGCCTTCCCCAAAAGTAAGTACAGAGTGATCCCAGATCTACATGCCGGCTAGCAGTACAAACTGTATGCTACACCCCAAAATGGATGTAAATTATTCCCCTGCTGCCTCAGTGCAAGGAGGGAGTATGGAGAGGTGTTACACCTTTCTGAAAAACAACTCTTTTCTCATGCTTCTTCTGGGATAATGTCATTAGACAGCACCCCATCCTTAAGTCTTAGACTAGGGGCTCATTCTACCCTAAAGCTCGTATCTGATTTACCCACCTCTTAGAAAGAAGAAAAGCAATACGCAGCATTCACATATAAGGAGCAATGAAACAACAGCATTCACTGAAAAGTTAATATTAAAAAAGGTGAATGGTAAGGCTCAGATTCCTGTGGGCTATTTCGACACCTATAGTTTGATCTCAGAGTGGTATAAATCTGGCACTATATTTTCACTAGTGTAACTACGAGGAAAATCTGATATGGCCTTATCATTTGGTCAACTGGAAATCAAAAGGACAGTGGGCAAAATTAATTCCTGATATAATCCCACTGATTTATCATAACAGATCCACACCTACACAAATTAAGTTTAAAAAAAATATGCAAGGGTGATGTGGATAATCTTGCATACTGAAAACAGGGACATTATTAAATTAAAAAACACAAGAGTTTTAACGAGTTTTGCTCTCTCTCATGTGCTCTTCACCTTTTCTACATTGTTCTGGGGCCTTAGCTAGCCTATGTTCTGATTACTATTGCTCCTGTCTTCCTCCCTCCCTCATCCTTCCCCCCACAAAATTCAAGGCTTACAACTAAATTTTTACTTTTGTTTTTCTCTTCTGCAATGTCTTTATGCAGAAAAGCCTCAAAGTAGCACAAAGCAACTTTTAGAACAAGGTATTCAGGTTGTATCCATATTGGTCTAGAGGCAAAAGGAATCAAAGCTGGTGGCAGAGGTGATATCTTTTATTAGACCAACTAGATATTTGCAAAAAAAAAAAAAATTTAAAGAAAAAATGTTTTTGCAAATATCTAGCTGGTCTAATAAAAGATATCACTTCTGCCATGAGTTTTGATTGCTTTTGAATCAAAGCCTCCCAAATTTCTGCACATTCCAAACCTCAAACCTGCAGAGATAATCTGTATTTGCATATTCAATTTAGCTAGTTATTTTTTCCTGCAAGGAAAATGCAGGGTACTTCGGGTGATCACGTGTCTCCCAAAAAAGATGTCTTACTGGAATCTCATAGTTTTTGCATCACAGTCTTTGAAAACTACTGCATACTAATCATCTGAAACAGCCAGGTGCTAGTGAAGCAAGTAAAACCAGTGGAAGGTAGGCTGAATACAGAACAGTGGGTCTCAATCTTTCTGAGCTGCAGCCCAACTTCCAGTTAGCTTCTGACTGCAAATGCCACTACTTCTGGTCCAAAACCATCCAGAGTAACTAAACTTCTGTGGGGTTCATCATCTGCTTTCTAAGGGCTATGATACCATTTTATGTTGGGACCCTTGATTTGGGAACCACCAGTGCTCTCAAAGCTCTCCAGAAGCTGCACTGTCATATGTCATCCTTTTTTCTAAAGAAAATGTCCCAGGAAGAAATACTGCATAAACCTGAAAGAGGTTTCAGCTGAATTTAAGACAAAATCCAATACCTCTGTATAATAAAGAGCAAGAGAAGAGGACAGAAGAGGGAGCAAGGGAAGAGGAGAGGGAGGAAAATAGTGAAAAGAATAGGTGCTTACAAAAATATGTATCAATATATCATCCCCCACAGCTATGTGTACACTTTGATGATTCTGAAGCTTTACTCACTGTGGACACACAGACAAACACACGTGATAACTTCATAACAATATCCCCTCCCCCCACAATCAGAGTTCTTGAAACAATATGAAGTTGTATTTTAATAGTACAAGGCAGAAAAATAATTACGTACTTAATAATTTTTTAATTGGATTTCACAGAGAATCTTTAACAGCTAGTAAAATTAACACTGACTTTGTTGACTCAAGTTCTTTGTGGCCATTGCCAACCCCAGAGAAACAGAACATTACAGGAGGGTTCAGTCAATGTTATACAGGGGAAAGCTCATAAAAAGGGGAAGCAGTAACTTTACATATTCACCGTATGCACTCTTAGACTGAACATCTGCTTTGCAGGTAGTAGCAACAATGCCACTAATAATGGAGGGACACTGCCAAAGGCAGAAGAGAACTTCAGGTGGCTGCATTCTAAAGTCCAATCTGATCCTAATGTGTATTTTTACACACAGAAATGGGTCGCACATCAGCACAAACATTGCTGTATTTATATTAATTTCTATGAAATTCTCTCTTCAGGTTTTTCTCTTTGTACTTTCTAGCAGCTTGTAGGCATGAATTATTAAATGGCAAAATTACAATGTGTATAAAAGACACAAGAGAAGTAAATGCAGGAAGTGCTCTTCTTCAGGAGTATACTAGAACTTGCAGGACTTTTGGAGACAAGTGTTATTCTAAACACTAAATAAAACAAATTACTGATCTAGTCATTTCAGAGGATATCTTTTGTCATGTGACTGCCTGTCAGTGACTTATTCCATACAACAATATTTTCAAATTAGATCGGGAGTGGATGGAAAGAAAGAACGCCACCACCATGAAAACTAGGCAGGTCATATTCACAAAGTAGTTGCTTCTGGAGTCTTGCCAAAATGTTTGGTAAGATATGTGCCACACATGCTTACCTGTTTTCAGACACTTGATAAAATAACATAAAAATCAGTGTCCAAATGATTCACTGTGGTGACTATTAATACAATGGGAAAAAGCAGGAGGGACCTGGGCAAGGAAGTTAACCTGCATGAAATATGGAAAAAGATCCTACATTCTGAACTAACCTTATCAAATATAAAACATTAGCTAACTTCTAAACTACAACGGTTCATGTGGAGTCTGCTCACGCTCCTGCTGAAGCATGTATTGAACTTCGCTTTAGCTCCAATGGGAGCAAAATCAGAACCAAGTTGTTTATTTTATTACCATTTGATTTCATTCCAACTCTGATACCCAGCTTAAGTATTCTTACAATAATTTTCAAAGCTATGGGAAAATCCATGGATATTAGTATTTATTTAAGCCCAATTAAGTTGGATTGTTTACACAAAACAAGAAAGATCCACTTGCCTTTCTTAAATTTATGTACGGGAAGTTTCTTAAGCTGATCTTTTCGAAGCCGGTTCCTTCTTGCTCTGTGCCTGTCTTGCACAAATTTCGTGATCTGTAAAAAATCAGACGGGGAAAACAAGAAAATGTAAATAGTACATCAAAAGAGCAAAAGAACAATGAAATAGCCAACTTTGTTTATGAGTCTCAATTTTAAATTTGCTTAAGGTTAAATATCCCCAGGACTGGAAGAGAATACAGCCAGGATTGCCCCTGGCTCGACACAAAGGTCAATCCCAGGCTTTAAGTTTGTATAGCAATGAAACAGATTAATTTTGCAACACACCATGTCTAGATAACCCTGCCAAGATAAAAGTATACATTTAGACAAGACTAGAGTTTTATTAGGAAACAATGGCAAAGTCTTTCCTAATTATCATATAGCCACACTGCTGCAAGCCCTTACAGAGATCAATGAAGCTGAAGGTAATGTGAAAAAGAGTTGTATATTACTTGCTGGGCCCAACCATAATTTCACTTCCAGTGGTTTTACATCCGTTTTTCTAACACCAGATTCTTATCTTGCTGCTTTTGACCATAGTGAAAAGCAGCAGTATACCTAAGCATGAGCAAATGGAACATTAGTCCCAGGTGCCACTTTACAGACAGTGCCAGAATGACAGTCACCCGAGGAGCCCGTGCTGAGGCAGCAGCAACCCACAGTGGCCCTGTGCAAGGAAGTAAGTGCTTGGTCCCTGCCCTCTTACCCTAGCCCCATTTTCTAGGTCTCTGGCACTCAGCACCCCAATCTCTTTATCCTCCCTGCCCAGGGCATCAAAATTCCTAGCCATGCCTCTTATGAATAGTTCCTCCTCATTTTTCCTTACAGAACTTCAGATCTTTCTACGCTGTTTCTAAGCCGCTCTCTTTGTATAATGAGGTTATTTTCATGGCCAAAATGAGAAAGGAAATGAAGACACAGCCTTACCTACAGCAGAGACTTTGAACAATACACCTTGGAAAATAGCAAGGCTCACCTTTTTGATAAAGGTAACACTAGACAGACAATGCGGCAGAAACCGTACAGAGGAACTGTGCAATTAGCTAGCTCCAGTTCAGCTGAGATTTTTGATGAAAGTTCAACCTTTGAATGACAAAAAATAACTTGTCTTTTAGCCCCATGACCATGTATTTATAACATATTTAGAACATGCTGCAGTATGGAGACTGGATTTCCAGACGCTTTTCTCCCAGTTGTGGGAAAAATTATCAAGAGAAACTCTGACCTTACATGTGGACCCAAATCTCTTATTTACTACTTAGTATTATTTAATACCAGGAGTGCATGGAAAGAAACTGGTCATGCAGCATAAAAGGAAGGAGGACCAAGCCAAACAAATCTTTTGGAAAAAATGCCTGGATCCTGCCTTGGTTCTGTCTAGTGTTTGCACAAAAGTCTTGATTAGACATCTGAGTAAATGCCTATTACTGACCCCAGATGAAGGGAACTGGACAGACATAGATCTAATGGTAAAAATATATCTACCATATCAACTCATATGTCAGACATATTTGTAGCTAGACACTGTACTGAATGTCTTCCTGAAAATGTACCTCCAAAATAGTATGAGAGAAGATAGGTTAATTGAGAAATCCTGTCCCTGGAGATAAATACATTTAAATAATGTGCAAAACGTCTATCACTGTCCTGGCTTGTTCAGGTTATAGTTTTCAACAACTGGCCTTGAGGGAGCAATGAATTGTGGCTGTGCTCTGTTAGGTCAGGTTAGCAGTTATTTTTTTCCCTTTGCTTTTGGAATATAGAGATGAAGGAAATACAATTGGGAACTGCAATTCTAAGGAGATATATCCTTGTCAGTTCAACTTTAGATGGTCTACACTGACGTAACAAATTCATACTATGCAAGGATTACTTTCTGCCTTGGGAACAGTTTTAGGATTTCTATTTCCTTATTAATGAAATAAAGTATAAAATAAATTAAATAAAGCATTAGTGCTCAACTTTTTGGTCTCATAGGCCAGACGAGTGATGCCAAATTGAGCCCTGGGCACCGGGATTGGGCTCTGGGGCCTGACCCCATAAACTTGAATTGAACCCCTGGCAGCCTGGCACCACCCCATTCCAGCCCTCCCCCCCTCCCCACCCTGGATTGGGCCCTGGGGCCTGACACCATCCCTACCTGGCCCTGCATACTGAGTTTGGGTGCCCGATCTACAGTGCAAGGTCTGAGGCTCCCCATGGGTTTGGAAATTTGGGTGCAGGGGAACAGTGCTACCCCTCCTCCACTCCCAAATTTCAAGACCCATGGGGAACACTGCAGGCTGGAAAGCAAGACACCACAGGCCAGGGGTTGAGCACCTCTGAAATAAAGTAACTGGTAACTGCTACATTTCATCATGCACAGGCAAACTGGTGCAATGTAAATCCCAAACTAATCCGTTTAAATTTTAAAATTATGGACCTAAAGATTAACCCAAAAAGGGTATAAGAACAGTTGATTTACAAGGCTTGGACGTTAGAATGGTTCTGACATTCCTTTAATATGTTAGAGAAATTTGCCTCACATGCCTACCTTTGGTATAAGCCAAAATTAGCTCCTAGTGAAAAAGCTTCCTAATTAAAACAAAACTGACCTGAAATGTCCTTAGATAACTCTATGTTAAGTGGGTATATGCTAAATCCTGCTTTTCACATTACCTGCACTAGGTACCCACTTCACCGTTGTAAAAGTATCTCAACATCTTGAATACAATTTTAGTACAATTCTGTTTGATCTTTCACAAAAATAGGGGCTTGGGATTCTTCAGCACACAATATAGCTCAGCATATCTTTGTGAGCATTCTGCTGCATCCTGCAGCTCACCTTAAAAACTTGTATCCCTACCTTATACAATCCCACATGAAAATATCCACAAGCAGCATGTCATGACATTTTAATGGACCCTTATCAGATTTCATGGTTAGCAAAGTGATTAATAGAACCAATAGTCTATACCACTCAGAGCCACTGTTTCCCTAAGTAGCTTACACTTAGTTCACATTTACAAAGTTAAATCCACAGAAATTTACAAACCTGCCATTTCCCTCAACTTACTTCCAAAACATAAGCAAAGAAACCTGAGGCTGAAGTCTCACTGTCAGATCTACCTCTTCATTTGACTAGCTTGCTCCCGACAATTAGTCCTACTTTGCAAATATTTGTCCTTCTGAGCTTGTACAGATAGTTAAGTTATTTAAACCTGTAAGTGGAGAACAGAGCTTTCATGGAACTGAGTTGAACTCCACCATGCTGCTCTCCCACACAACTGTCAGAAACCTGTGCTAATTTTGACCAGTGCCATTTTTCTATGCTGGTGTAATACCTTACAAATATGTTAAGGCATACCTAAATGGAGGAAACTGTCCAACTTTTCTGCACAACCTCTGCTTGGAGATTCAACTGACATCCCAAAAACTTTCAAATGAGCATGTAATTCCTACAACATGCTTAATATAATTTACAGTAAAAGATACTGTCATTTTCAGTCAGAATAACAGCTGCAATTCTAAGGAGGGGTGGACTTTTGAAGGGATCAGCCTACACTTTTGTCAGATCAGTCTTATTCCTTGCTGAACTTATCTATATAACTCAGCCCATCAAAGTTCATTTCCAGCCCAAAAGATAGACCCTGAAGTCCAAATGAAATTTATGAAGATGCCCTAATACCCAAGATAGACGGTGAGTAGTGAAACTGGTAAAAAAAGGCTAAAAGAAGATGTGAAGAAGGACTTAGAAGGAAGCCTCTTTAATCAAAAGGCATCATTGTGGGAAACACAGTGAAATTTCAAACTTCCAATTTGGTAGACAAGGTTCAGTTCTAGTCCTCAAAGGAAATTTACAAGACACCTTTCATAGACGAGCCTATGAACTTCACTTCATACATCTACTGGATACAAAAATTATGGGCTAAATATAGACATTCGATTTATGCCATCCAATAACCCCAGGTAACCTGTCTGCATTTTACCAGCTACACTTTATCACCTTCTCCCTTTTCCCTCCCCCACACTCCCAACTACCTTTTCACACCTATAGTCTCCCATTAACTTTGAACCTTACTGCCATGCATATGCATTTTCATAGACCTGCATTTTGCAATTTGGCTTCTATTCTACCCAGTAAAGCACACAAACACCAACAGACTTTCCCTATGCCTGAAGAAGGGTGTTTGTGCCTGAAAGCTTGCAAAGAACAATTTTTCCAACTATTTAGTTGGTCTAATAAAAGATATCACATCTACCCAAAGAACCTTGTCTGCCTATGTCCTTAGACCAACATGGCTACAACCAATGATCCTAAAACTTCCAATTTTGTTTTTCTAAAGTACTCATTATTTTATATACTTTTCCCACATGCCCTCCTCCTTCCCTCCTTTGTAAGATACCAAATGCCATTTTTTTCAAGTTGTCTTCAGGAGAGAGACTTTCCATGTCATGTAAATATTCTTGTTTCCTTTCTTAAACCTCTCTCTAATTCAACAATGTGTTTCTGAGATGGGATAACCACCATTACACCTAGTGTTCTATATCAGGATTGTCCAGGTGGCCCGTGGGCAACACCTGGCTCACGAGGAGTTAATGTATATCCTGCAGGCTCTCCCCCCCTAGGTGCTGCTTCCCTCAGTGGTCATGGTCTCTAAGGCAGGACAGCATAGTAGGAAGACACTCAATAAGCTTGCTGCCCACACGGCAGCAAGGGGGGCTTGTGCTGTCCATAAGGCAGTGCAGGTGGGGCTCATGCTGCTCACAACCATAGTGAGTGAGGTGGGGCTCACACAAGTGACAGTGGCAGAAAAGGGTCTCATGCTGCTCCTATAATGGTGGCAGGGAACTTACGCTGCTTGCACACCAGGGATCTCAGCATGTATTGTGCACAGCTCGTGTGGAATATGGCCGGGGGCTGGTGACTGGTGCAGTATGCAGTCCCTAGCCATTCTCAAGTTGGATAGTCCTACTCTAGATGAAATATAACTCTAGTACCATCAATTTACATAGGAGCTTTGTAATACTTTACATCGTATTCTCCATACTTTCCTTAGACATCAAACTATCTTGTTTATTTTTTGACTGCAGCTACAAACCAAACAGATAAACAAACATGCCCAAGCTGAAGCACTGAAGGTTTAAGAGAAGCATCTCTTACTAGGATCTTCTCCATTAGGGCCCAAAACTTTGGTATTTACTCATCGCCTGGCCAGTAGCAGCCTGAATCTGATCTTCAAAACATATTACAAAGCCTTCCAATTTACCTAATATGGCAGGAGAGGCAAAGTACAGCACTGTTGAGGTACCATGTTATCCCAGGTTTTCTTTAAGGACAGGAAAAATGGCTGGGTTTCTCTTGATGTCTGTATAATTCTAATTGTGCTAAAGGGGCCAGAACAGACATTTTAAAAAATGCTGATTAGAGATGAGAAAAAATAAACTGTGCAGAATACTGTACTGGAAGAAAGATGAATAGCCAAAGACTTGTATCACTAGGGAATAACTAAAAAGTGAGTTTCACACATGAATACCTTGCTCAGCTAAGAACTGAATTGGAAAGTTCAAATTCAAAGCATAAATAGCCTCCAGCATAGTTCTTTGTGAGGAACAGCAATGTGCGAGATGGAACTTTTCATGGGCTCTCAGCAGCTCCTTATTATAATTCTGCAATCAAAGCGATGGGAATTTTGAGGTGATTTCCTGCTTCTGATGGAGTTTTCCCTTTCCCAGTAAATTGTTAAATAATCTCTGCAACAGATGGTTTATCCCAGGGGTTCAGGAGAACATTTCTGAATAGAAATTTGTTAGCTTTTCCAATGCAGATTACAACAGATGGCAGGTATCTTCCAAAAATGTTCATGGAAGAGACTCCTCCTATAAGGTCTTTACCCCAAGTACAAGGTTGAATGCAGTGCTAGACTACTACAAACTCAGTACAGTTTTCAGGAACAAAAAGTAAATGTTTTCATGAGGCTGACACTAGCTTAGCAACTGGAATCTCCAATGCAATCGTGAAGTGCAGATCCAAGAGAGACAGAGAGTTCTTATTTAAATGACTAGTCTTCCAAGTATTCACTCTACAGCGCACACACCATTTAATCAGTAACTGCCAATGAGACACAAGAACTAGTACAGACTAAGGAGGAATACATCTGAAGAAAGGCTTTGTTGAAAAAACTGTAGCACACGTTGCTGGTCTGCAGTCAGCAGGGATTTATTCATGATGTCTCTATGCAACTGGGTTCTAGAAAGAAACAACTTAGTGCCTCTGCTGGCTACTGCAACTCGTCATTCACCTAGCCAGAACAACTCTTTAACAAGAGTTATGTATTTAAGATAAAGCAGAACATGGCTAACAACAAAAAGAATAATTACAGAAGATAAATAAACAGAAGATAACAAAAAGAAAAGATTTATTGTGTATTGAGAAAATAACCAGGTGGTTAACAATGAGCATTATTAGTTTAGATTTTGCATGAAACTCTTTCCAGTTGTTTGGTTCTTGAAAAGCATGATTAACTACAATGAGCCACAGTCCTGTAACTTTTATTTTTGTCTATGGAGAAAGATTATTCAAAAGACCAACACCTACCATAAATATGACGATGAGTATAAGGCAGATCCCCACTATAATCAGGAATGGAATTAAATAGTATTCCAAAGGAAGACTGAACTCTGGGATTAGCACAATATGGCCACTGTAGGGGGAAAACAGTCAATTTTAAAACAGGTTAAACTGTAACACAAAGCAATGGTGATAAAATAAACACAATCAGGAAATACCACACTGGTATCACTGTCTCTCATATAATGAAATACAAATGTACTAATCTACACGCATGACCAGGCCACCTACTGCAAACTAATAAATCAACAAACAATTACAAATTAAGATCTCTACTAACAATGTAGGGTTGCTTATTTTTGCACCTCTAGTTTAGTTATTACTGCCTATAATACAGTTATTGTTTATATCGTAATATAAATAACTTAATGCCCTCAGTAGAATCAGAGCTCATTGTGTCAGGTGCCTTACATGCACACAGACCAGTTCCTGCTCCAGAAGCCTAACAGTCTAGGACAGGGGTCAGCAACCTTTTACAGTGGTGGGCTAGATGCTTGAGATGTGGCAGCTGTCACTGCAGGCTACCAATCTTTTACCCCTTATCAATTCCCTGCTTCTATATTCCCTTGCCTGCTCTGTGTCCCTCTTCACTTACTCACTTACACTTAACAGGCTGGATACAAGCTCTTGTGAATTAGATATGACCCACCAGCCATATGCTGCCAACCTGTGGGCAAAATATTAGCAAAATGCAGCAGAAGGACAGAATAAAAGTAAGAGGGAGAACAAAATAATCATACAACAAACATATTATTCATAATAAACAGCTGTCCCAACTTCTGTATGAGCATGATCCAAAGAACACTGGATATTAATGGACTCTTTACCATAGATTTCAGTGGGCTTTGCATCTGACCATATAAAGATGCTGTAATACATCCCATAAGCACTGAAACTCAGATCCCTCTGAAAAGGAGGCCCCTTTAGAGTATCTCAAGTGGAACACCCAATATTGAACATCTCAACATTACTACTATTTTTTTTAAAGGTAGACCTAGATTTTATTACCCTTTGTAAGAAGAGCAGATGGACAAGATTCTACTAAGACTTTTTTGTAGCTTAAGTGAAATTTACATGCTGCTGCATTTATAAATTACAAAAATCTCCATTTCACCCTTAAATCAAGATTGACAGGAAAACAGATTATGTAGGTATTTCAGCAGCATGTTGGAAGCAAGATGACAAATTATCTAGAAATCTGTGCATCATTCAGATTTACCGATGCATTTCAGATAACACTGTAGATTTAGTTGTAAATAATGCAGCATGGCAACAACAACAAAAAAAACACAAACAGAAAAAATCCTGACAGCACAGATGTCCTTGCCCCCCCCCCAACATTTTGACTATAAGTGTGTGACTATCGAAAATGCTGTCTTGAATGGCAATCGGTAGGTAGCGTCAAACAGAGATTCTGACTACTACTTCTGACTAGTAAACAAGAGAAGTCATCTGAATGATGCCAGGTATTTATCATCAGGAATAAACACTTGTAATTATCCCAATAGCATTTGCAGGCAAAATAACTGAAAAGGGACAATAGATATAAAGGCCATTCTTATCACCTTTGATCGTCTTGAGCAGCACCCTACTCCTCAAGAAGTTCCCCTGATTTCAACAATATATCCACTGATGTGCATATGAAAACTAGCCCTTCTGGAGCAATCCAAAAGGCGTAAGGCCACTGACCCCAAAGGAAAGACATAAATGAAGACTGATAGAGAAGGATAATTAAGGACCTGTATTAAATAATTCTCATATTCCAGTCTTCTTCTACATTTGCATTTTAATAGTTTTGTTCTCACAATATATTTTTTTCCTACATCTTTACACTTCATCAAATGCAGTGTTTCACTTGAAGAACATGAGCAGGGCCCCATCAATGTACTTCAAGCCCATACTGAAGATTCACCTAGGGATGAAAAGATAGTCACCTACTTCTCTGTTAAGTCAAGAAGAATGCCAGTATGTGAGTGGTTTTGTAATGAGCGGTGGGAAATGGACAGAGACCACCAGACCAATTTATCACAAGCCATCTCTGGATAAAGAATAAATACACTGAGACAAGGAAATGAAGGAACACCACAATCCCATTTTAGATTCCCCTTTCATAGTAGAACCTTGGTTTAAAAATAGGTCAGGGCACAGTTAAAGTGGTATGGATTTGAATGGACAAGCTTTCAATTTTACCTGCTGGGCCTCAAAACAAATAACTATTTCATTTTCTGGTTTCAGTCTTTACAGACACAGTATAAACATGTAAACTACAGTCTTTATTTTTAACTGTTTAATTATATAGCACTTGGTGATATTATGGTCAAGATTTAAAATAAGGGTGCTCAGCATTTGATTTTAATGGTTCCTGTTCTCACTCTTACTAGGAATATATTTACCTCTGTGTATTCAAATATGGATTTACCTTATAAACCAGTTCTTGGAAATCAATCTATTTTTTAAAACATTATGCTAGCCCTGTATTTCAAAGTTAATTCCTACACTGCATCTACATCTGAAGGAAAAGAGGGAAGTATCTAACAGATATACTGTAATCTTACATCAAGAAAACAACTCTTGTTTATATTTTCTGTCTGTAGTGCTCAGTAGTTTTGTTCTGCTATCACCCTAAACTGCTATAAAATAAACTCAGTGCTTCCCAGTGCTTGGAAGAAAAGCAAGTTTTGGACTTCATGAGCAATTTTATGATGTCGAGCATTTTTTTCACCTTGACGGATGACTGAATTATTCAATTTCTTAACCTGTTCTTCTGGTAACAAAACGTTTGCTATAAAATTCCAAGTCATATTCACCCAAAGATGAGCAAATTTTCAAACTTAGTTTCCAATACAAATGGGCATGCATAAATACTCAGATAGTCTATCAATATCTAGACATACTTTGCTACTCAATAGGAGCTTTGTATACTTAAGTTATCCAAAACATCAAGATTACATATCAAGCAAAAAGCAATTTTGATCCGATACATTTTAGAAGGCTAATTAATACAATGCAACCATTTAACAAACAAGGAAAGATAAAGCATCTTCTATTTTAATGAATGAATCCCTCAGAAATATCCAAGTATGGTTTCCCCTGTGGTTCAGTGGTAGAATCCTTACCTGCCACACAGGAGACCTGGGTTCAATTCCTGAACACTTATACAACTAGAGCCACAGAGGCACTGAAAATATGGTCTCAGTCCAGCATTTGCATTCTCAGTGACCTGTGGAAGGTCTGGGCAGCCTCCACTCCTCCAAACTCCTGCCTAGGTATATGTGTCAAAGGTCTAGGTGACCTCTCACACATACACCATTATCCAGAAGGATTGACCAAGTATGTTTTTCTACCATGTACACAGCAAGATTCGGTGCAGAGCCAGGCCAGAATCATCTTCCCCATGCTGGCTCCCTGTGCTATGGGCAGCATGCATCCCACTCCAGGGCTTGCGCTGCCTGCAGTGTGCAGGCTGGACCTGACACTGGGAACACTGCCTGTACCCCAATGTGCAGGCATAGGCCACACACTGCATATGGCACCCAACCAGACTGGCTCTGCATACTGGCTCCAGGGCCAGCATGGATCAGGTCACATGGCACCTGTGTGCTACATGTGCAGGGTTCTGCAAGCTGCATGTTTGAAACCTCTTCTGTAGCTCACAGAAAGTAAAAGTGCTTTTTCATCTGAAAATGGACCTTTTCACCCCTGAAGAATAAGTCCTTAAATTCATATTTATTTTTTTATGGACAAAAAAAAGTCTGTATCTTTTTTGGTTCAACAAAGCCAATACATGTATGATGAGACTATGAGCTCAATTCTATTCCTTTTTGTGCACCATTAATAGAAATATTTCCTATGATGCAACTATGGACCATATTTTCCCTCACTTACAATTATGCTACCCTCACTGACGATAATCAGGTTGTACAGCTAAAACTGATGGCATAATTTGGCTCCCAATTTTTTACAATTTGTGGGTCAGAACTAAGCCTGAATTTCAGATCCAAAGCTGAGTTTGAAGGACTGGCAAATGGGAAAAAAAAAATTAGTTAAAAACTGAGCATATTTTATAAAAAAAAATAACTGAGACATAACAAGCATGGAATGTCCTTGGCTATTTTTAGTGTTTTTCCTAAGTAAAACTTCACTTTAAGCAAATCACCATGTAAGTGGCATATCAGGTAACAGAAACCAGCTCCCTGAACAGAGAAAATTAAGGTCTGAATGGACCTCAGGAGGTCATGTAGTTCCACTCCCTGCTCAAAGTAGGACCATCCCCAGCTAGATCATCCTAGCCAAAGATTTATCTAGTCAGGTCTTAAAAACCTCCAGAAATGGAGATTTCACAACCTTTCTGTTCTAGTGCATCACTACCCTCCTAGTGGGAAATTTTTTCCTAATATCTAATCTAAACTTCCGTTGCTGCCACTTGAGACTGTTGCTCCTTGTTTTGTCATCTGCCACCGTGGAAAACTGTCTAGCACCATCTTCTTTTAAACCTCCCTTCAGGTACTTGAAGGCTGCTATTAAATCCTCTCAGTGTTCTCTTCTCTAGACTAAATAAGCCCAGGTCCCTCAGCCTCTCCTTATGGCTAAGTACAGACATTAAAAAAGGCTGAGCCTGAATCAATTCAATCTTTGAAGGTTAGTCTAACCTGCGTAGATTGGACTGAGAAGAAAGTGAATAGACATTCGCTTTTGATTCTGGGAATGCAGGCATGTGCCTGTAGTGGCTCAGGCTAGAAGCCGGGGGGGGGCACTAGAGTGAGCCTACCCTTCCTTTCTGCAGTGGCCAGAAGGCTGGAGGGAAGCTGAGCTAGGGGGGTTGGGTCTGGCCAGGCCCCAGCAGCCTGAGTATGATTAGGTAGGGGTTTAAATCTCCACCCTGGACCCCAGCCAGGGTGTACCTGGAGGGGGAGGAGAGAAGCAGCCCTTGCCAGGCTTTTATTTTTTTTTAT